TAACTTTAACCTATGAAAAATATTGATTTTTATATTTTAATTTTCCTTTTTAATTGTGCTAGCTTTGAGTTTAACAGATTAAAATTTTTTAGAAATATAATGTTTTTTAAATAATATTTGAAATGTAAAATTTTGATTNTAGAAATATAATGTTTTTTAAATAATATTTGAAACGTAAAATTTTGATTTGTATTTATATAGGAACTTAATATACAATTGAGTAATATTAGATATATTTGAGAATATGTAAAAATAAATATAATAATTAAAAGTGGTTTAAAAACAAAATCATAATGAAGTTAAAATTTATAAAAAATTAAAATGTTAACAAAGTATATATAAAAATTATAAGGTGGCTGGTTACCCATTCTTTAAACTGATTTGTTCATTATTTTAAATCAAGAATATAAAACAGTATTTTAATAGAACAGAAGGAAAATAAAGAGCCCAAGGCTGATAAAATCCTTGATATACTAGTGAGTTAATGATATTATATTTAGCATATTTTCATATTCCATTTCTGAAGATGGTGTCTGAATATATTTTATTTTTATACTTAACAGTGACAGTTTATAGAACTTGGAGAATATGGAGTAGTGGTTTTTTACCATTATCAATAATTTAATTATAATTTAATTTTGGAAATATATAGAAAATAACTCTTTTTGCTCTGTGTTGGTGAAGTATGCCAAATTTTTGACAAATAATTTACATGCACTTTAAATATTATTGTTACCATTAAGACATTTTATTGGCAAAATGTAAACATTACAAATTTAATTTTAATAATAAAATATATTTCTTAAAAAATATTTTTGTTTTATTTACGTCTTATTGAAAAGAAGGTAGAGGGAAAATGTATTAAAAAATAATAATTATCATGAACTAATTATTTCTAAGTCATTAAAAAAAATGGATTTTAATAGTATTAATAAATTTTAATATTTTTTACTCGCACTCTTTGGAATTTGGTACCGGTGTAGTAACACAGAGTTTTTCTTTGTTATTCGATTTGTTTAAATTAAAAAACTGTCGATGAAATAATAATATATCTCTACTTGTATGCTTATTGTTTTTAACTAGACATTGTTGTGTTTCAATTAGCACATGTACTTTTATTAATTTTTTTTTTTATAATCATTTTTATATCCTATACCCAAATTTAATTGCAGTTTAGGTTATATATTTATGGATGTGTATAAGTACATAATATGTTTGTACGAGCGAATGGTTTAATAATAATTAATTAAAACGATAGCGGTCAACGCAACCTTTTTGTATAATACAACGACTAACTATAAACACACATTCAAGTTTGCGTATATGCAAATACACATATTCATAAATATATAATATATTATTATTATTATTATTATGATTCCCACTATATAGAGTGTTTTTATCTTACATTCCACTACCGACACAGCATGATTTACCTGCGTGTCTCTATGTATACCAGATATTACCGACAATTAATTTGCTTATTACTATTCTACAAATCATTGTACTCATATGAACTCTTTAAAGCTCATTTTAACATTCATCGATTAATAAATGTTGCTTAATATTATATTACGTTATTTAAATATTATACATAAAACACAATAAGAGTTTAATGAACTAGAAACTCATGATGGAAAATAATAAAAATATTTAAAATTAATGAAAATTAAGCTAAATCACTAATCTTCTATTCAAATTACTAACTCAAGAATAATATTATCCATAATATGTAGAGTATTATTTTATAGTATAATATCAAAATGTTAATTATTAAAAAAAATATTTTTCAAATATGTAAACAAAATGAAATAGTGAAAGTTTAACTTATTTTAGACATTTTGGTATAGTAAGAAAAAATGATTTTAGTATTCATGTCATCGACTTTCAACAAAACAGGTTCAATATCAACATAAACTAATAAATTGGTAAGATATAATAATACAATGTATCATATAATATATATCTATGTGATAAGAAATGATCATATAATAATTACAAAATACTTTTTTGTCAATATACTTTATAAAAATTAATTTCAAGGTATACAATAGTTATTGATAACTGTTAGTTTCAATTTACTTCTTTATATTTGTATAATTAATTTTTTAGTTTTATTTCTATTATATAAAATTTATATGGATAGAAATTTATTTTTCGTTAATTTTGTTTAATTTAACTATTTTATTGATTCTGATTTGTATTAGCCATATTAGTTAAAGCAGAGTTTGGTTTAATCGAGTCGAAAAAAATTGTATTGCTTGTACAAAAAACAAACATGACTAGAGAATCTTTAAGCCTTTCAATGAACTAATGAAATTTTTTTAGTATAATCTGAAAATTAAAGGTTAGATTTTATATCGATTTATCACGCGTATATTTAGTAAACCTATTTATTAAACGTCGCATTTATTTGTTTCCTCTTCAAAGTATGAAATTCAATATTATATTCCGACAGTAGTTTATAGTTCTAAAGTACACTGTATTTTAGAACGAAAATTCTTCACTAAATAATCAAAACAAAAGTTCTAGGATTTTAGACGTTATAAAATATATAAAATAAGGGTTCAACTATTAACGAAACAACTGTCAAAAAGTTTTACTATAAAATATTTAACTAAACAACTTTGTCATTTTTTAAAGAGAATATTTAATGAATGATTATATTATTTCTAATTGATCAATTTTTTTATCATTTAGTTTTTTATAAAAGTATGTGTTGTTTATCTGTTTATTTAAATTATCGTATGATATAAAAATGTTAACTCAGTAAAACGTTATATATGCATTTCAAATTAACTTTTGACAGGAATTCTTGTGAAAATTCATTGACTTTATAAAATAATTTTTTTTTTCATTCGCAAAAATATGTTTAAAATTTAAGTATTATATTTAAATGTAGTTTAGTTGTTAAAATTTAAAATAATATAATTTTAATAGTAATATTCCGAGTATTAATGTTGTTAAGAAAATGCCAAATTCTATAATTATTATGGTGTCTGTTAAATAATCATTGTTAAAATTGTATACCAATACTATTTTGTGCAGATATAAAGTACAGATATTTTTGACATTTTTCATGGATTTTAAAATCATACAGACATTATGATATAATATGTTTAACTTATCTTTAAAATTAGATAGAAATAATAAAATAAACTTGATTAGAGTTGTAACCCTATAATGAACAAAACATTGGTGGTTATGTTCGAATAAAAATTGTGACATGCAAGGTCATAAATTACTAAAAATAAAATTTTGAGAAAATTCTCATAAAATAATTTAAGCTAATAAAGTAATTATGCGACAAAACACTTGAAAATTATGTGGATAGATTTTATTTCTCATATAGAATTAAATTATTAAAATTCTTTTCAGCCTTAATGAATTATAATTATCACTCTAATGACCTGTAATTATGTATATTATTAAAAGCTGTTCAATAATTAATCACATATGTTTTTAAATTTTTTTTCTTGAATTTTGTACTATAAAATATTTTACCTTTGAATAATAAATACATTATTCATGATCTATTTTCTTAAAAAAATGAATAGGGTTGATTACTATCTTGTGCTACTAATGGAGTAATATCTGCAGGCGTATTGGAACTTCGAAAAGTCAGCGTTACACTTGCTGTTGATAACGACATGGGATTCGTTGTTGAAGATTTACTTCTGCCTACACTATCACGGTCACCACGATTTTTGCTATTCATTGACGTTTCCATTTCGACATCCAGTCGGTTTGTAAATGTTTTTAAAAATGCAATAGCGCGGTTTGGTTCGGGGAAAACTGGACCTAGGAATTGTAACCACGCTCGGTTTTTAATAACAGCGTTTTTATAATCCTCTTGCGAAATGCGATTATCTTGATCCATGTCCAACTCTACCATCATTAGCTCTACAAATTCTTTATCGAAGTCTTCACTGTAATGTTTCTTACTGGTTTGTAAACTGTGAGACTTTATCACTGACAGTACGTCTTCCTTCTTTATGTAATTTGGTAGTCTCAATACTTCCGTGTACACTTTAAAGCAAAATTCTATTTTATCGTTGAGCGAACCTTTCAATAATAACGACATTAGTCGAACAAATTCCGGCCCATTAAGATATTTAGAATTATAAGTCACGTACTGATGAAACATGGCATTTACCACGACCGAATCTTTGACATCTAAAAAATAATTCATGAACTCTGCAAAACATAGTGAATCCATTTTCCTGTTACGTTTCTTCGTTATCATATAATGAATACTCAACAATCTCATTACTTCAGTTTGATTAAAATGCGTTATGTCACTCAGATAAATTTTTATTTTAGAATATCTATGTTGCAATCTGATGTCCTCAGCTACCGTTAAACATCCATTTAACTGCATAAATGGCATTCTATGTGTATATTATAACTTCACAAAATGTTGTTAAGAATAAATGTCAACACCTTTAATTAAAAATGATTTTAAAACGTTTGAAATATTTCATTTTTTATTTAGTAACAACTATTAGAACGTTGTTTGAAACACGACAGCTGTTATTATTCAATTGTCAAGTAATTATTACTGTTAAACACGCATGAAAAATAAACAACGAATAATGATAAAATATTTAATTTTTAGTATCCTAATTAAATTATATAATTTTAATGAAATATATTATTATATTGTTTCGCTAACCCTAACATTTATCAGAATACTACATTTTTTTTTTACAATAATATTATTTTCGTTTAAGATTAATCAAATTAAATATAAAATAAATAATAGATACATAAATACACGTATTTATAACCCATACATACATATTGCTCTCTAATTAGATCTTTTCTATACATTATTTCCCTAAAAATGGTCAGCATTAACTGAGTTAAAAGGAAACATGGACTCGTATTGCGTTTTGATGAATAATGAGAGTTGATAATTCAATATATATGTCGATAAATTACTAAAATAGCTACAGGATATTTAAAATAGTATACCACATGCATAATTAAATACTTACCTATACAGCGGTACTCCGGAATCGTCTTTGAACCAGAACACCATGTAAACTTTATCTGCTGGATTAGATGACGACACATCACAGGGAAATTGTACACTTCGACCTTCCACGGCGTCTACCGGAACTAATGGCACCGTCACTATAAAACAAAATTACAGAATCCTCAAGTAACACTATGTATTTATTAATTGTTGAAAACTACTATTTAACTGATGATTGGAAAAATTTACTTCTCTAATATAATACGGTAAAGTAACTAAGTTAAGGGCAGCTTTTATTTAAAAAAGAACAACAGATAGTTCCGGTCTATTATGATAAATTCTATAACCTTAGATACACTGAATATTTATATACCTTCTTTTTTAAAAAATTGTTAGAATATAGGACTATGATAATATCTTGAATATAAATTTTTTTTATTATCAAAAGTATATATATATATAAAACATAATAACCATTTTATAGAAATATAATTAAAAATAATTTGGTAGCAAAATATTATCTTGATATTCTTGAGTACTTTATAATAAAAATGTACATTTTTTAGCGTTTATATTACAATAACAAATGTTGATTTAAGCTAATTAGGGAAAAATAGAAGTAATACAATTTTTATACATAAAATAAATGTTTTGAGTATAGAATTATTTTCCATAAAAATTGTTATCACTTAAATGAACGTCAATAACATTATTCAATAAAATTAATTACTGTTATTAGATAAAAACTTGTTATTTTTATACAAGCTCTTTTTGTCAGACATTTTAGCGTAATATTTTCTTAATTATATAGTTTAGGCAAATATAAATAATAAACCCATAATACTAAATAACTATTAAAAATATATAGAGTAATTTATTAATGTAGCTATAGTTACAGATTATAAACAAGATTTTATGATAAATAACAAAACCAACGATGTGGCGATAATCCTTTATTACTAAAGTCAAGTCCTTTCTCAAAAACATTTCTAGTCACCTATTACTAAAATCAAGTCCTTTCTCAAGCATCTCTAGTAATAATATTAAATAATTTACTTAAATTATGTACATTTAATCAAACGACGAACATTTTTATGGAAACATTTTATACTTGAACCAATATAAAATCTTTAAAGATTGTGTTACTTATAACTTCATGTTATTAGCTTAGACCAAAGTTTGATATTGTTTTATAAACACAAACAACTAAAATTTTTACAAATTTTAAAATTCATTACAATTTTAATTATGAAATAGTTATTTTAATTTTAATTTTTTATTATTTATATTTAAGATATTATTACAGTTGTGCACCCTTACAAGTTTTTAAAAAAGAAAGTAACTAAATATATTCAGTGGATCAAAAGTTACAGAATTTATCAGAACAGACTGGGGCACCCTGTATATATATATATATATACCGTTTGGACACATCTTTGAATTTTGACGAAACATAGTTTAGGAAAAGCTTCACGAGAGAAAGAGCGAATATTTTGTTCAAGCAAACCCGACAAAGTTTAGCGCCTTAAGTTTACTCAGTGGAAAACAAATAAAGAAATAGTTCGTCAAAAGTTTCTGTAATGAAACAGCTAAAATATAATATTATAACAGTGTTTTGTTGTACTTAAAACAGAGTAACAAAGTTTTCCTCTGAAGATTTTATAAGGTGCCAATAAGGGTCATGGTACCTGGTCACCGTATCTAAAAACAAGAAATTTATGCATCAAACCGTCGTAAAATTATTAATATTTTTTAACACGATGTTCATAACAGCAAAACTTTTATGTAAAAAAAATAATGTCATGACCTTTAATGAGTGGATCACACGAGGGTGCGAAACTTTTTTAATAATGCCGTTATGGACGGCGGAAATATTGTTCAGTAGGAAACGGTGAATAAAAGATCATACCGCTCATTTGTATAAATACAATACAAAACCATTTTTGTTATATAATGAATTCAATGAGTACAATAAATTCAGAGTGTTATATAAAGTAAAAACAAAAACCTTAACGTCTTTTGTTTTGTATTTAATCGAATAAAACTTATCAAACGTAGTTAGTTATCAAATTTAAGTTTCTTTAACTTGTATAGATATAATTTTAGTCATTAACGTTTTTTTAGTAAAAGAGTTTAATGTTCATTAAACAAATACCCATTAAAGTGGTCCAGAAATTTTAGACAAATATCAAGTTTTTTGTCAACTTTTATATTTTGTGTTACAAATATATTATTGGTAATAATTTTGATTTTATCAAAATAATCTATGTGAAATATCATCAAATTAAGTATCATTTGAATAAAAATTAGTTAATTACTATTTAACTAGTAATTATTTTATTTTAGTTCTTGGATCTACCCCTCATCACCGTTAATTACGGACCTAAATGTCTTGAATTAACTAGTATAAGCTAATGAAAGTACAAAATAAAATTATTAATCTAGTTTTTAATGTTAATCAAAAATTTTGTTAATTATAATAAAAAAATTATATATATATATATATAATTTCTTATTAAAATAGTGTTAAATATTTTTCATTGGTCTTTTTTTAATAATAACATTTAAGTTTTACTATATTAAAATATTTTTTTTTATATTCGAAGCCTAAGTTATAATTTAAAATATATATTTAACTAATTTGTAATCAAATGGTACTTAATTTGTTTTTTTTTTTATGTAGGTAATTCTTATACCACATAAATTATTCTCAAAAAAATTTTTGTGATAAATAATATAAAAGTTAACAAAGACATAATTTCTTCCTAAATTTTAAACTAGTAGTAAGAAATGTTTTTTTAGAAACAAGTTTAGTGCTTTAACGCCCATAGGAATATGGTAAAAAAAAAAAATAATAGATGAAAATTTTGGATCTCTATAATAAGTATAAAAATTATAATTACAATTAATTTGTTTTTTATTTTATACTTGATTAATTTGCTTTCTAAACTTACAATATACCTACATTTTATTTTCTAATACAAAATATGAATATACATTTAGCCACTTAAAAATGATACATATTTTTAGCATATAAGATATTTTTATTGAAGTGGCTAGCTCGCGACCTTAATTCAGCTGAAGTGATGCTGAAAAGGTTTTATTTGTATTTTGTTGTTAGAATCTCAAGTATCATTAAAAAATTCGTTTGAACACAGAAATACTTCAAAATATTAGTAAAAAAAAGAAATGTACCTTATTACTAAAAAAAAAAAAAAATACTTGCTGTGTATAAGTTTGAGAATATTTAACACTTTTATCAAAATATAAAATAATAATTAAAAAATAATTTTGCTGACGAATTTAAATAATGTCAATATATCAAATTAGAGGAAAATTACAATGTTTTTAAAAATATATAATTTATATTATTTGTAATTATAATTACATACAGAATTATTGGTTTATTATAAATCACTCAATTATTCGTAATATAAATACAATATTAAAAAAAAATTGATTTTTTTTAGTTACATATAATTCTTGGCCTATCAGCTAATAATTAATCTTTAGAATCAACTCTTATAACATAAAGTGGTATAAATTTAATTTTTTTTAACGGCAATACATATATTTAATTCATTTATAAAATATAAAATAATTTGAATAAGAAAATGACTGGTCAATAACAACTTTTGAATCATTACTTTAAAAGTTATTAACAATTTAGAGTAATGACTGGAGCTGAGTAGTGGGTGCAATTATTTTTATCACTAGTCATTTGCCGACCGTACTTTTTGTCTCACCTAGATTTAAAATTGAGAATAACTTCTAAAGTACTTGTCCAAAAGTTTTTATCGAATCATTTTCTTAATTAGATCATTATCAATAAATAAGTTGGATAATAATTATCCAACTTATTTATTACATATGAGTAATTATTATGTGTGTTGTTGTTTAAAAAAATTAATTTGACACCCTTATAAGGTATAAGGGATAAACATAAAACTTAGTTCATGATTTATAAATAAAAAAAAAACAAGTATTTGAAAAAAATTTTAAAAATATTATTAATATTATTATTATTATTTCATCGAAAAGTCTGCCAGTTCATTAAATTATGATGACACTGTATTGATGTATAATACATTTTGTGTTATGATAATATCAATCAAAGTCGTATTAGAGTAGACAGGAAAGTACGAGCTAAGTAAGTAATTCTAAAAAGAGCATAAAATTTAAAACTTAATTAGATTAATCTTTGCCATCAACTGTTTTAAATAAAATAAATATTTTTAGTTATTTTCATTTTTAGGCCTATACGGGTCGAAGAGTACGGTCGGAAAATTACTAGTGATACTACTTTAAGTTATTAAGGATGATTCTAAAGAATAATTATTAGCTGATAAGCCAAGAAATATATGTAACTTAAAGAAATAAATTTTTTTTTAATATTGTATTTATTTTGGGAATAATTGAATGGTTTATAATAATAAACCGATCAGTCTATATATCAATATATTAATTTATTAAGAATAACATGATAATTTATGTTCATTAATGAATTGATAAATGAGACAAAGTTGCAAAACACTGCATGTCAATTTAAAATATTTTTTAAGTAAAACATTTAGCTTAGTGAATTACTATTATGCCTATTATTCTAATTCCAAAAATAATAACAACTCAACGTGACTGGAGACTAGTATAATTATTTTAATCCAAGAAAATAATTTTAATCCAATTACATTTATGACGTTTCCATTTTTCATTTCTAATTTTATTCAATTATACATGCATATTATAATGTGAATTATGGTTTACACGTTTTGAGTTCTTATTATCCTTCATAATCCTATTATTAGCAAAAAATAAATAAATAAAAATGGAGACCCTAGATTAAAACAAAGCCTGGGTACTTCAGAGTGATAAATTAAAATAAAGAAAATTAAATGGAACCAAAAAGACAATGGGATTCTTTAAAACAAAGAATTATTCTCTACCATTGACGACAATTAAGGATTAGTTCAATAATTGATGTAAATTATCATTTTCGTTAGAAAAAAAAATGTACGTACCTTTTCAATACTTCTGATAGAAAACAGAATAATAAGTAACTTTTTTTAATAACATAAAAAAATGGGTAGTCATGGTTAACTTTTTAGCTGACGAAACACTACGAGAGAAATGTTAAAACAATATTTTTTATGATGTATCG